CCTTCAGCTAGAGGCCACACATCAGCCTGTGAAGGACAGAGGAGAGGACCATGACCTGTTGGACCCATGGATGTATAATAAGAACTGGATACAGCGTGGGAGGCGGGGCCTCATTCATTCCTATGAGAGCTGCTCATTAGCGCATGATGATAAAATGGCCCAACTTTTGAGAGAGTGAAACGTCACAGATTACCCAGCATGCCTGAGAAGTACCCGTATGTGCGCTCATAGCGCATGCGCAACTTTAACCAAAATGCTCGTTCACATCAAGCACGTCAATTTGCGTACACGTAACAGCACCGCGCGTTCATGACAGCATGGTAATGGTTTGTTATTATGATGGATTTGATATTAACGATGCGGCAGTTAGCAGCTAGCTAGTAATTATGCTAATGTACTCATCAATCGTTATGTACTTATATTACGCTGTAACAGGATCTAGTGATATCCAACAGAGCTTCATTTAGCATGCAATAATTATTGCACTGTGTATATATATATACATATATATATATATATACACAGTGCAATAAGCTTCTTAGTGCAATAATAAGCTACAGGGACGTTAATCTAACGTCAGTAATATTAACTTTATTTAATACAACATTTACAGTATAGATTTACATCATACAGCCCATGTAGTATAATATTTTACAAATGATGAATTACAGCAAACATGTGCAATATGTCCATTATTACAGCTCCGTGGGCTGGCAGTAAGGCGATATGGGTCCGTTGTTATTGTGCATCCATGGGTAAAGATAAACGCATGTAGTGCTGAACACGTAACATGAACGTGCCGGGCGGCGCGGTCCCGTGGGTTAGATGCGCGTTCATAATGCAGAGGGAAATAACTCTCAGAATAACGTTATTAGCACATGTTTACAACTTGAGGAACGAATGTTTTTAATAAGGGCTATACAAGTGTTCATACTGGGTTGTTTATTTAGTTTAAAAAAAATTATCCAACGAGTTACAGACCAGTCTTTCCCCATGTAAGTCAATGGGAAAAAGGTTTTCCGGGCCCAGCAACCTAAAAGAAGTGTAGTACCGCCGTTTGGCCACAACGAATATTCTCATCAGACTCCGGCGCACTTCCTGGGGGCTTGGTTGGACCAGGAAAAGATGAGCAACAAGGATCTTAGGACAGATGGACAAGGGAAGAAGGATCTGTGTGTCAAGCATCAGAGAGATGTAGCGTCACAAAAACCTGGAATTGGGATAAAGAAAGAAGAGGTTTAAAGTCAAGGGGGACAACATGAAAGCAAGACAGTGTTGAGAAGGTGCAGAGGAACCAAAGGAAAGTTAATATACATGTCAACTGAAACTACCGGAGCAGGATACACAGATAGGAAACCAATCAGAGAAGCAGAGGGAGCTTGATGGGGAAACGGGTAATGAAAAGAAAAGAGAATTAGAGGAAAACATAATTGGAACCTACCTACCAACTTGCTTTGGCTGTCTTCACCCCCCTCAGTGTGCGTGGTAGAAGAAACATACCATGTCATCCGTCAGGAATGAGTTGTTGTCACCGAGTAAGCTACCTATGGAGCATAGCATATTAAAATGTAGCTATGCATATTTTCCATGAAGTGTACAAACTGAATTATACAATTTGTTTTTAATAATCTAGCATTTTCCTAAACCAAATGAACCTCCCACAAATGTGTGTCTTTAAGCTATTTTCAAGCTGTTTTAGTGTGAATAATATTGTATTCTCTTTGGTTGGTAAACAATATTGTGTTTATACTATGGGTGTAAACAAGAAGTCTTTCTAATTAAAATCAACCTCGTCTTTGCAGATCTTTACCAGACTTTAATGACATGTTCAAGACAAATGTAAGTTTGGGCAACTAATGTGCTTGGCTACAGTTTACAATTCACCCTATGTTGCAAGTTGCAAGAACCTTGATGATTTGGCATTATTCCTCTAGCCAGTAGTTTGAAAAACATGATGTCATTTTGGAACCCATTTTAAATCTAACCACAACCAGCCTTGGGTCCCGACCATAGGTCCGACCCAGTAATTCAAAGACAACTGCATCTTTCTGTGTGTGTGTGTGTGTGTGTGTGTGTGTGTGTGTGTGTGTGTGTGTGTGTGTGTGTGTGTGTGTGTGTGTGTGTGTGTGTGTGTGTGGTGTGTGTGTGTGTGGGTGGGTGGGTGTGTGTTGCATCATAGCCTAGGCCTGCTGATGCTAATGGGTTCCTTTATTACAGACCTTCCACTCTGCTGTCTTTTAGCCACCTTACTGCCAGTGTGTGTGTGTGTGTGTGTGTGTGTGTGTGTGTGTGTGTGTGTGTGTGTGTGTGTGTGTGTGTGTGTGTGTGTGTGTGTGTCCTGCCAGCAGCATGGGAGACTGCTCACTAGCCTTGTTGGTGTTGGAGGCCTCTGTTGTGTTCCACTGCATTTCATTTATTTTCCTCCTTTCCCCCCTCCCCTGTTGTGCCTTGCATTGCATCTTCTGGTTAACCCAGATCTGATGCTGTCTAGTTTTATCTACAGGTCATGGCCATACTATATTACTTGACAAACAGAAATGTGTGCTCTGTCTCCTGATAACATGCTCTTTTTAAAAGACTGAATATTTGCAGATGCAATGGAAATGCAGTCATATGAGAGACCATAACATAATACCTTTCCCATGAACTCATACTGTCGGTGCTCACACATGCTTTGATGTCATTGCAGGCTCCAGGTTTAGTTCCTTTGGCCAAGAGGAGAGAGGATGAGGTGATGTTGGGGAGTGCCCCCCCCCCCCGAACTACCCCCCAACCAGGCCTCTGACTACGCCAGCAGCCCTGTCAAAACTAAAACAGTGACAGGTAGGTTTACCACCCGTAAGCTGTGCCATGGGTGTGCTGTTCAAGATATTGCTCTGACATTGGTCTTAATACAATAGCGTTACACTAACTCTGATGAAGTGCATCAAAGAGGTTTACACACATAAAGGGAACAGATCCTCTGTCTGTGTGATGTAAGTAAGAATTAGTATACAAATGGAAATGGCAAAGACATTTACTTTTCCCTTGCTATTTGGAATAACTACCACTGTTTCTATGTTTGAGGATATGGTCTGCCAAAAGTGGAATAACAACATTTCACAACATCTTCTTTCTATGCAATAAATCATGTTTTTATTATTATTACATAACACACGACAGCTCGCTGACACCTGAGTGAACCCGTTTCTCAGAGGACATCACATATTCTGTTTTCCTCTGCTGCAAGTAGAACTGTGAGCTCTGGATGCCCAGAATAGATGAGTGGCTTGGCTGTGCGGAGCCTGCCTCCATGCCAGTTTTCCGCTTTCTAGGGCCCCCCTGTTCAGAACAAACACGTTAAGGGCACACACACTACTTCACAGAATACATGTTCATATCAGGACGCATATACATTTAGACACAATCATACCGGCAAGCAGGGTTATACATATACTGTACATATACACACTTGCTCACAGACATTCTCCCACACTAATGTAGCATTGCTGTGGTCCTTCCTTTGAATTCACTAGAACTCCTATTTTTCTTAGTAGGAACTCTGAACCCTTTGACTGAAGATGGACGGAAAGGAAAAACAAAGCGAAGGAGGAGGAATTGATTGAGGATAGATATCAGTTCAGGATCTCGTCACAGATTTAGATTTTTGCTTTAGTGTGAGATGAACAAAGAACAAACTAACAGTATCCATAAGCTTTTGAAGTATCGTTGATGTGTGCAGGACAGGTGAAAGACAAATATGGCTACTGACAATTTATCTCCTGCATCAATGGAGTACACACATTTTTTTTTATTGGTGTGATGAATCTGTTTAGTGGACCTCAGGGAGAGTTATGTGAACGAATACCAAGCAAACACACACACACACTGTACACATGTATTATTCCACTCCCGTCTATGAGGATGGCTGGAGCAGCCAGTCTGTTAAGGAGCTGTCCTTGACACAACACAGAGCTTTACTGACTGCAGAAATGGTTTTCATTTAATGCTCACGTGTATTTATGTGCCTAATAGCCCAGCCCTTCCCTATCGTGTCCCCCTATAGATATTTAATTAATGTGATCTAATGGAACTTATTGGCTAGCTTTTTGTAACTGAATTAGTTTCAAGTAAAAATAAGAATGAAATATGGTCTTCCCAGCCTCTACTGTTTGACTCTCGCAGTGTTTAGGCTCCAGGTCTTCTCCACACATTTAAACAACATTTGAAACCTTATTTGCCAAAGCATCGCAGTGAACAGTCAGGGGAAATAAGCAAGTGGTTGTTTTTTCTTTCTCTTTTGTCCATGAGAAATGTGTTCCCAGCAGCAGTAATGAATCCCTGTTTTGGGTGAAGTCATCCTGTAGCTGTAAATAACATTTTGCGTCTATGACGTCCCCCCCCCCCCCTGTCAAGTGTTTTGAAATGCTCCTTTGACATTTCAGAGTCTAAGAAAGGCCATTAGGGATCCATCCCTGCTTGCTTTACAAGCTCACAGCTGAAAGGTTGTGCCGCCTCTTCCTCCTGGTTTCCCCTATGTTCCTTGTTTCATTCAAAATCTGCACTAATGTCTTTTCCATAGCGCAGCATCTTTGCTTATTCACATCTCTACAGTATATTCTCTCTCATGAGGGGTCTTCAGTAAGCATTCACGTTGGCTCCAACACTAAACACATAGCTGAATCAGGCTGCAGCTTCTCAGCAGCACTCAACTTACAGTGACTGCTCCTCTGCCTCCAAACTTCTTTGTAAAGCGGCCTATCTGTGTGGGTAGCTGTCTGTTTGTCTTTCCACGTTGAGCTTTTTTTTTATCCCATGGTGTTTTTTCTCTCTTAGTCATGCTCTCCGCAGTGTTGTCTCTGTCTAACGAATAGGTGTTTGTAGATGACTGAAAAAGTCCTTTTTCTGATCGGAATATTTATCCGAAGTGGTTAGTAACTATGTTCTGATGAAATCTAACCCTCAGTGCCCCCACTCCAAGGCTTTTTGTTGGAATTCCACTTGCAGTTGAATGACCAGCGTCTCTGGAAATTGCTGCAATGTTACAGGAGTAGATCTAATGAAAAGTTACACATTGTTTCCGCGAGCAATCAGAAAAGAAAAAAGGGCAGATGCATGCAGCCCTTTTGGTTTTAATCATGGTGAAACAATAAGCCTCCCTGCAGTCAGATCATCACTGAGGCTCAACAACACTACAGAGGAGGACTTGCAGCACAGCAAGTATTGTATTTCCTTCCACACCACCTTGTTACATAACAATACATCCTTCCTGCAATTAACAATTGTGTTACTTTGTATCTGAAGATGTCTTCACCCTTCCAATGGGCCAATAATGAAGAAAGTTATCATCTCTTTTGGTTTTGGGTTGTGGTGATAATTCAAACACTTCTATAAATTCATACAAATCCTGTTCCACCTCCATGTTAATTCTTCATATTCCCGAGGCTTTGCTTGTCACAGTGCGATAATACTCAATACAGAGAAACCTGATATCTGGAGATATCAGGTTTCTGTGAGCGCCCCCAGTCACCTCGTGAGAAGAGCTGCTGACATCTAACATGTTATGATTGGAATTAGGCGCTCTAAAGATGATTTATGAATTGCTTTTCCATGTGCAGCACATCGTGAATGAGGATCTGGATGTTTAAAGAGGACAGGAGCTCTCTCTGGATTAGCTGTTGTGTTGAACACGGTCAGCCCTTAGATCCACCTCAGTTATTCATGTTTGCCTGTAGTGTTTATACGTTGTTGACTCTCAGCTGGACATACATTACATTACATTTCATTTAGCTGACGCTTTTATCCAAAGCGACTTACAATGACCGATTACAGGGACATTCTCCCTGGAGTAACTAAGGGACTAAGTGCCTTACTCAAGGGCACACTAGTGGTGGTGTTCCTGGCGGGATTTGAACTCACAACCTTCCGAGCCCACCTCACTATCCATTAGACCACCACTATCCCATAAAAACATAAAACGGTCTTCTGCTTTTGTATTGTCTGCAGGTTGCATTTCATCTTTAAAATGATTTATACACAGCTGTGATCTGATGGATTTTTCAGAATCTATTATTAAGTGCTGCATGTTTACCCCTGGACATGTGATCCAGCTGTGTAGCTTAATCAATAGGCAATAATAATTGACTACAGTTGAAGTTGATCTGACTATATTTGAGAAACCATCATTGTGTCATGATGGACCTTAATCCCAGCAGCAATAAAGGAACAAGGTTTTCAAGCTAAATAATAATTGCCCTGAGAATTTAATTAAATGTTTATTTTTTTTGCTAAATCATCATTTGGCATTTTCCTCAAACGCTCCAAAGTGCTTTCTTTTAATTAACATTTCTTCAAATAAATGTCCAGGTTTATTACGTGGCTGATTTAAGTTGCAGGGTTATTTCCGGTATATCATCTGTCAAGCGACTTTTAGGGGGTTGTAATCACTGCAGCTGAAGTTTTATTTTCAGTCTTCAGTCATGTATTTAGATAACCAGATGAGAGATATGCAAGTTGTTTGCCAGTTGGAGTCAACATGTCTTTGAACCGGCCCGATGAATAAAGACGTCAGACTGGCAAACAGCCGCGCTGACTGCCACTGGTGTGTCCCTTCAGCTTCAGGAGACATCACCAGGTTCTCATAGGAACCCTTACACTGGTATTTTGTTGACAATGAATCAACCTTGGGTGTATTACCTAAATACTTAGCCAATGAGTTATTGTAATGTTTGTATTTCGTCAAAGTCCAGGATGCTCTCGTGAAGCTTTCCCTTTTGTCGTTTGTAAAAATCTGCTGATTTTAAATATGCCGCAAATTAAGTATTCTAAACTACTTCATTATCCATCAACAATTATAATCCCAACTGCTAAAATGCTGATGAATCCTTCAAAATAGTGTGTGCATTCTTCCAAAGATTGTTATAGAAAACTTAATATTGCACAATACTGTTCCAACTTTCGCCCTCCTGCCGTGGTCAGAGATGGTCTGCGTCTATCCCCATCATGAACTACAGACGTCAATTAAAACAAATATATAAGTTAACTCTTTGCTATTTCCATAGTGTGGTTGTTTGAAATAGTATTATGAGATGAAATGACTCCCATTAGCTGGTTATATGGAGTATGGATATAGAGCTGTGTTTTGTTCCGCCAGATTATAAATTGGCCAAAGCCGTCTCTTTCTGTGCCTATTGATTATCAAAGTTTTCCACTGGAGCTATTGATTTCCCCATAGAAATTACCTTGGGGAAATACAGAATAAATCATAATCCACATGAAGAAAATCATTTTCAGAGCTTTTAGCAGTTCAAAGCCTCCTCAGAACAATTGCAATAGCTAGATGTCCCTGCTTCCAATTGGCCATTTGAACACATGCCTGGCACTTTTATGATGTAAAGAGAGTGTTATGTTGTTTTGTAACCACACTCAGCCTAGCTACAGTTTCGTCGTAATCAAGGGGGACTTTCCTGCAGGCTTTTGTAAGGTGCCTGTTAATGTGTAGGCAAATGTACAGAGACACACAGAGCCAGTTCATTGCAGATCATTTCCCCAGAAAGCACTGAGGGCAAGGTGATATCATACCGGCTGTGGGGCTGCCCAGCTCTGTCCCAGAACCCATATACACTCAACTCCATTTGGCAACAGAATATTTTACTCTGCCGATTCCTTTCTGGCTTTGGTCAATCCTCATGTTAAGTATATGTATACAGGGAACATGTTGCAGGACACCGCTGCCTCTCAGAACCAACATTGTGACCAAAGCATGTTCCGCATCACATGGTCACATATATTACATTTATTTTTATGTTAAAAAAGTCTGCAATTAAGATTGGCTCTCTTTCACA